CTTGTCCCGTCGTTTGGCCTGTGGGCAAGGGCGGTGCTTGCATGTGGGACTTGTCACCTGGGAACTGTTTTGTTGCCCCCTGTTCTGTTTTATTTCTGTCTCTTATACACATCTAGATGTGTATAAGAGACAGGTGTGTGTGTGTGTGTAAGTGTGTTTTCATCTAGACTACCAACCGGGCCGCCCGGGTCACGCTGCTTTCCCGGGCAGCTCGACCGTGCAAGGACCACGGAAGGTCCCAGCAAAAAAAAAAAAACAAAAAAAAAAAAACAAAAAAACTTATGTTATGTAGAAAAATAAACTGAACAACTTTTGCCTCAGGATCACATCGAAATTCCTTACCGTATTTAAAATTAAAATTAAAATTTAAAAATAATTTTTATTTTTATTGTTTTTCTATTTCTTAGCCCGGCCGGGGGCAAGTGGTCCCGGGCCACACTCTGGTAGCCTAGGTTTTAATAAAGATTCATTATTTTGTATTACGGGTTCTTTTCTATTCCCAGCAGAGGATCGTTTCCCTTCCTTTTTTTTTTTTCTTTTTTTTTTTCCCCCGGCCATTACATGGACGAACGTGACACGAACACGTGGTCATATATATATGTTCAACAAGGTGGCTGCATCTAGCCAGGAACGCGGATCGTATACATTCACATTCATGTTGACTTGCTTTAAGACAACGAAAAGCGACGGCGATCCTTGTCGCCCAGCACTTGTGCTTTTTTTTTTTCTTCTTTTTTCTGGTCTCCAGACTGGTCTGATACTCCTGTGAAAAATTCAGGTAATTTGGGGGGAAAAAATACAAAAAATTCGGGTAAGCTGCCATTGTGAGCTTTTTTTATTTCGCGGGAGTACCAGACCAGTCTCGGTATTTTCACAAGGTATTTTTACCGTGGGCTGAGCACGCATCCATTGTGAGTTTTTTTGTTTTTTTTTGTTTTGAATCCATAGTCAATCGTCGTCACTATCGATGGTTTCTTGTGCTGGGCGACAAGGATCGTCGTCGCTTTTTCTTGTCTTACCTCTCTGCCGTCCAGACTTGTGCTCAGCCCATTCAGTTGAGCACGCAGCCATTGTGAGCTTTTTATTTTTATTTTTTAAATCCATAGTCCATCGTCGTCATTATCGATGGTTCCTTGTGCTGGGCGACAAGGATCGT